GAGTTTAAGTTTAAATTGAGAGATGGGGGTTAGGGTAAGTATAAACATGTTGAGTGATGGGCCTATAAATAACATAGTTCTGTGAGAATTGGGTAGGTTTAGTGAAAATTTAATTTAGAGTGTTAGGCACGAATTTGTTTACATGAAATGGAAGGGAAGAGGATGTGTTATGCTGGAGCATATGTAAAGGGGAAGTAAGGGAGAATAAGTTAGCATGTATTAGGTTTTATTGAAAATGCCCAGACAGGAAGGTATGGTTATGAAAAAAAGATAAGTTTAAAGTGGTGAATTGCAAGTAAAAAGGAGCAAATGAGAAGTGGTGAGATGTTATCAACAAATTTTGTTGAAAATAAGAAAAAGTTTTGGAGTGAGATTAACAAGTTAAGAAAGCCTAGAGAACAAATGGATTTGTCAGTTAAAAATAGGAGAGAGAGTTTTAAATGGAGGTTAGAGGTATTGGGAAGATGGAAGGAATATTTTGAGGATTGTTAAATGTTGATGAAGATAGGGAAGCTGTGGGTTTCGTGTATAGGGCAAGGAGGAATAACTCTTTTTAGGAGTGAGGAAGAGCCAGTTGTGAGTGTGGGGAAGTTCGTGAGGCAGTAGGTAAATGAAGGGGTAAGGCAGCCGGGATTTAATGGATAAAGATAGAAATGTTAAAAGCAGGGTGGGGATATAGTTTTGGAGTGGTTGGTGCAATTATTTAATAAATGTATGGAAGAGGGTAAGGTACCTAGGGGTTGGCAGAGAGCATTTCATAGTTCCTTTGTATAAAAGGGAAAGGGGATAAAAGAGAGTGCAAAAATTATAGGGGGATAAGTCTGTTGAGTGTACCTTGTAAAGTGTATGGTAGAGTTATTTAAATTTAAAAAATTAAGAGTAAGACGGAGAATAGGATAGCAGATGAACAAGGAGGCTTTAGGAAAGATAGGGGGTGTGGGCCAGGTGTTTACAGTGAAACATATAAGTAACCAGTATTTAGATAAGGCTAAAGAGGTCTTTGTGGCATTTATGGATTTTGGGAAAAAGGGGTATGACAGGGTGGATAGGGGGGGAATGTGGCAGATGTTTTCAAGTGTATGGTGTAGGAGGTAGGTTACTGAAAGCAGTGAAGAGTTTTTTTTGAGGATAGTGAGGCTCAAGTTAGAGTATGTAGGAAAGAGGGAATTTTTTTCCCAGTAAAAGTAGGCCTTAGACAAGGATGTGTGATGTCACCGTGGTTTTTAAAATATTTATAGATGGGGTTGTAAGAGAAGTAAAATGCGAGGGTCTGGCAAGGAGGCGTGGAGTTAAAAGATAAAGAATCAAAACACAAAATGGGAGTTGTCACAGCTGCTCTTTGCTGATGACACTGTGCTCTTGGGAGATTCTGAAGAGAAGTTGCAGAGATTGGTGGATGAATTTGGTAGGGTGTGCAAAAGAAGAAAATTAAAGGTGAATACAGGAAAGAGTAAGGTTATGAGGATAAAAAAAAAGATTAGGTGATGAAAGATTGAATATCAGATTGGGGGGAGAGAGTATGGAGGAGGTGAACGTATTCAGATATTTGGGAGTGGGCGTGTCAGCGGATGGGTCTATGAAAAATGAGGTGAATCATAGAATTGATGAGGAAAAAGAGTGTGGTGCACTTAGGAGTCTGTGGAGACAAAGAACTTTGTCCTTGGGGGCAAAGAGGGGAATGTATAGAGTATAGTTTTTACCAACGCTCTTATATGGGTGTGAAGCGTGGGTGATGAAAGTTGCAGCGAGGAGAAGGCTGAGGCAGTGGAGATGTCATGTCTGAGGCAATGTGTGGTGTGAATATAATGCAGAGAATTCCCTAGTTTGGAAGTTAGGAGGAGGTGCGGGATTACCAAACTGTTGTCCAGGGGCTGAGGAAGGGTTGTTGAGGTGGTTCGGACATGTAGAGAGAATGGAGCGAAAAAAGAATGACTTCAAGAGTGTATCAGTCTGTAGTGGAAGGGAAAGGGGGGGTAGGGTCGGCCTAGGAAGGGTTGGAGGGAGGGGTAAAGGAGGTTTTTGTGTGCGAGGGGCTTGGACTTCCAGCAGGCATGCGTGAGCGTGTTTGATAGGAGTGAATGGAGACAAATGGTTTTTAATACTTGACGTGCTGTTGGAGTGTGAGCAAAGTAACATTTATGAAGGGATTCAGGGAAACCGGCAGGCCGGACTTGAGTCCTGGAGATGGGAAGTACAGTGCCTGCACTCTGAAGGAGGGGTGTTAATGTTGCAGTTTAAAAACTGTAGTGTAAAGCACCCTTCTGGCAAGACAGTGATGGAGTGAATGATGGTGAAAGTTTTTCTTTTTCGGGCCACCCTGCCTTGGTGGGAATCGGCCGGTGTGATAATAAAAAAAAAATAATCACTTATGACAAATAGTCAGACAAATAAAAGGAATGGGGTATTATATTGCACTATACTAAAGCACTGTACATGGCTGATGTTATGTTGAGATGCAGCTGAGCAAGATTCAGTCAAACTAGTGAATATGAGGAAATATGCTAGCTGTTGTTCATTTGTTATTTCAAACCTGCAACCCGAGTCTGATAATTTTACCATGATTATGCCATCACACGTAAAGCACTGTTTGACTGCTACATTATATTGCTACTTCATATTAATAACAGAGTAAAATACTGACTATTTGAAATTTACCACTCTTTACCTGTCTAGATTTAAGTATCGTATTTTGCGGCTTATTAGACGCATTTTTTTTCCATAAAAAGTTTGGGGTGTGGGGTAGGCTGTAGCTCTCCCAGTTACGTCCAATGCTGAGCCATTAAAACAAAAACAAATCCAGTTTCAAAATTACAGTAAATTAATAATGTTTTGAGACAAGCTATTTATGAAATACGGATACTGTACCGGGATACTGACAAAAAACGAAATTCCTTTTTAAGTAACACCTTCCTTTCTTATTTCTTAAACTACTAAAGTCACAAAGCAGCATCATTCATGGTAGGCACTTTAAGATAATGCTACCGTATACTACGCTATGGTTAGCATATGATGGGTATTTTCACTTTATTATTAGGTACTGGTAATCATATTTACCGTATGTTATGGTGCAACAGCTGAAGCAGCCGTTTTTGTTTATACCGACAGTCACTGACAAAGACACATCAGTATGCACTCTGGGAGCCTCACTATATAGAGTTCCACACACAGCAGCAACTCAGCTGCCAACGACTGTTTCACCAGTTCAGATTGAGAGATCATCGGGGTGTTCAGATGAGCACTAGGCCTATCCTATGTTTCGACCTACCCATAAATCAAACGTAACTATTTCTGCCTGTAAAATTACCATAGGTTTCAGTGGAGTAAATATTAATTGGTATTAGGCACTCGTAACTTTTTTTTCTGATTATTACCTTCTAAACTGGGATGTGTCTAATGCATCGGAGCATATTATAAGCTGTGAAATACAGTAGTCTTTAAGTACTGTATTAGGTTAAGTCTGCTGGAAATGCCCCAGCATGACAGTGGCTTTCTTTGTACCAATCAAATTATGATATGTAAACGAACATTGTAACCTTTGCAAAGAAATAAACTTTTGTTTTTTTTGTTTGTGCTAATGTGAAATTACCACTTCCACTATTATGGATGCTGGTGAAATTCCTATCTCTTCCTATTCATAAGAGGATATGGATTAGGCAATCATAATGGTCCCCATGGGGCAAGGAGAAAAGGGGGCATTAAGAGTTGTCAAATTTATGAATTCAGTTTTTAACTACACATGCAGTACTGTATTTATAGAATGTTCCTAGTGAGGATGTACTTGCTTAAAATAACACTTTTAACAAAGTTAGATATTGTAATAATCATTATTATGGATTAACAAACATCGAAGTTATAGAAGTCATTTGGGTCAACCTCAAAAGTACTCTGTATGATTTGAGGCCAGTTGTCTTAAAATATAATTAACAAAGTTATAGACCATAGTATTCCTCAGCCTCATATATTGTTCGATACCATGGTAAGATAAACAATCCCTTTTTAAATTACCTATCATTCAAGTCAATAAATATCTCAAAACCTACTCTAACATTTCATTGCTATTTATTATTCATTGTACTTCATTTTTCACATGTTGTTTATACAATAATTCACACACTTTTCCACATCCACTTCATTCATTCATTCCTTAAAAAAAAAAAAAAAAATGCACTACATCTTCCCATCTTCATGACCTGATCCTCAAATTGCATTTATAAAGCATTCTATATTAACATCATTTTAACACTGAAGTTAAATTTAATTTTACTCTTCTTCCTTGTACAAAGTATTATACAATACTAACAGTATTTATGCATACAGATGTCTATATTGTATATACTGTAAATGTCTTAGATTTATGCAAATTTTAAAACTATTTTTTTTTTTTTTTTTTGTAAATTTCAATAAGCAGATATTTTTCCCACAGGATATCTATACAGTAGTACCTCAGCATACGAACAGCTTGTGTATACTGACAGTTTACTTTAGTCCCTGTTTTAGGGATTAAAGCATTTATGTCTGGTGATAAAAAGGTTACCTGCAGCTTTAAACAACAATAATCAACCTAACCAACCATATGTTTCTGTTTCACCCATTCCTTGGGTGGCCCAGTGGCCTGGTGGCTAAAGCTCCCGCTTCACACATGGAAGGCCCGGGTTCGATTCATGGCGGGTGAAAACATTTCGACACGTTTCCTTACACCTGTTGTCTTGTTCACATAGCAGCAAATAGGTACCTGGGTGTTAGTCGACTGGTGTGGGTCACATCCTGGGGGACAAGATTAAGGACCCCAATGGAAATAAGTTAGACAGTCCTCGATGACGCACTGACTTTCTTGGGTTATCCTGGGTGGCTAACCCTCCGGGGTTAAAAATTCGAACGAAATCTTATCTTATCCTTCTTTTTAGTCTTTTCAACAGCTAAAATACAGCATCTTATTGATTTTACCTTACTGTAATTTGAAAACAAATACCATAAAATGAAAAATTGCTCAAAAGACAAACCTTCGGTAATTTTGTGATGAAATCATGAGCATTTGCTTCCTTGCAAGCATTATGTATATCTTCCATGGATACTCCATCACGGCCATAGCGGATATTTTCTGCTATGGTAGTTGCAAAGAGAACAGGTTCTTGCCCAACCACTCCAATCTGATCTCTCAACCATCCCAAGTTTAGATTTTGTATTGGGTTTCCATCCAGCAATACCTGTATTGAAGAATTTATACTCAATATTACTGTACTGTATTAAATAAATAGGCATAAAAACTGACACATACAAGCATAAGTACTGAAAATTAAAGATAAAAGTTCTCTGTATTATACATTTAACATGACTCCTTAATATGTACAACCAAAAATGCAGCAATTACAAGTGATTATTTACAATACACAATAAGAAAAGAAATCCAAATAAAAAGAATCAAGAAAGAAATAGAGAAACAAATGGAAATACATAGAGGATAAAAATAAAATTTAATACAAGTCAGGGTTCATAATTTAGCATTCACAAGGAATATGCAATAAATCATTCTCTATAACTCATACACCATAGTACATGTTACACAATTTATACTCATTTTTTTGTTTTTTTTCAACAAGTTGGCCGATCTCCCACCAAGGCAGGGTGACCCAAAAAGAAAGAAAATCCCCAAAAAGAAAATACTTTCATCATCATTCAACACTTTCACTTCACTCATACATAATCACTGTCTTTGCAGAGGTGCTCAGATACAACAGTTTAGAAGTCCCTAAAAACTGTCAATATCCCAAACCCCTCCTTTGAAGTGTAGGCATTGTACTTTCCATTTCCAGGACTCAAGTCTGGCTAACCGGTTTCCCTAAATCCCTTCACTAAATATTACCCTGCTCAGACTCCAACAGCTTGTCAGGTCCCAAAAACCATTCGTATCCATTCACTCCTATCTAACACGCTCACACAAGCTTGCTGGAAGTCAAGCCCCTCACCCACAAAACCTGCTTTACCCCCTTCCTCCAACCTTTTCGAGGATGACCCCTACCCCTCCTTCCTTCCTCTACAGAATTATACACTCTCCAAGTCATTCTACTTTGATCCATTCTCTCTAAATGACCAAACCACCTCAACCCCTCTTCAGCCCTCTGACTATAACTTTTAGTAATTCCACACCTCCTCCTAATTTCCACACTCTGAATTCTCTGCATAATATTTACACCACACACTGCCCTTAGACAGGACATCACCACCTTCAGTGCCTCCTCAATGCAGCATTTACAACTCAAGCTTCACACCCATATAAGAGTGTTGGTACCACTATACTTTCATACATTCCCTTCTTTGCCTCAATAATTCATAATCCATAATTCACATACCAAAATCCATACACTTAAAATTCACACCACAAGCACAGCATTGCTCCTGTAGCAACAAACAGGTAATTACAAATGACAATTAGAAAAGGCCACTCACCTAATTGAGTATAATTATTATTTACATTGCATTCAAAAAGCACTACAACTGTGGGTTATACAGCACTGCACTCACCCAAATAAGCTACAGATACAGGATTAC